TAAGGAGGACTCTTGCACAGAGTGATCACATAAGGACAGAGATGCAGTACTCCTTGGAGTAGTAGGTGAGAAGGACATCTTTGCTCTCTTCCATTGCATTCTCTTAATGCAATGCAGATGTGTTAGATTTCTGAGCCGAGTTAATTTCCTACTGTTGGAGCACGTGCATTCTTGTAATTGCTGAGCCAGGTTGCTTATTGTAGAGATTCTTCAGCTTTTCTGTGTTCTGACTGCATCAAGGCTATTGAGTTGATACTAAATTCATAGTATTCGGTGCCATACAGAGATGTGAAATGTCGGTACTGTGGATATATCAAGCGTTGAGTGCCTTCCTGGGATTTGACAGCGTTCAGAAGCCGTCCTGAACCATTACACATGATTGTAGTCCATGTAGAGAGTATGTCATATGTAATGAAAGGCTTAAATGTTGTAGCTATATGTGCTGAAACTGCTTAAGAGTCGACTTGTCATCATTTGATATAAGTTTTGCAAGTCTGCATGCATCAGAATAAATCCTAAATGAGTAACAGATATAAGTATATAAAAAAGAACCGTGTTGGATGACATAAAATAAATCTCATTTCATCTGATAAAGAACCTGCTAAATTTGCTTCTAGGAACAAAGCCTTCTCACATACTCAGACATACTCAGCTGTATCAGTATTTAATATGTCTGGTTGCTGTATGAATGTCCTTGAATGATTAGTTAGCAAGCATGCATGAGTGTAGCATTTGATGAGAGGCTGCTACCTATCAAATACTGTAGTTTGCAATGCAGCTGCAGCACCAAGCAAGTGGTATACCAGCAGCTTGTTAAGGAAGAAGGAAGAATGCCCAGAAGTGACTGAGAAGACCTCTCATCACTGAGAGGCTGGGGTAGGGTAGGGCTGGGGAGAGGGCTCTGCCAGGAACAGTGCTTTCTACACAGGCATGGCTATATGGACTCCATCCAGTGACCCCATGTGAAGGTGAGAGAACCAATTCCACAAAGGTGACCTCTGACCTCCCCACACACCACAGCACACTTGTACACACACAAATGAATTAGTAAGTAAATGCTAATGGGAACTCCTGTAAGACTATCCAAGATCACAGCCAAGGTGAAGTGTCTCAAGCAAGGAAATCCTATGCTCGCTGTTAGGAAAGACTGAGCAGGACCAAGTTCCCTTCAAAAAAAGAACGGGAAAGCTGTGTGAAGAGTGCAGACTCTAGCCTGGGCTTTTGTCTGATTTTGCTAGTATATGCATGTAGCTGCAAAAAATATGGGCACTCTAAATAGAAATGTTCCTTCCTGCTCTGAATCCTCTGCATTGAGAAGAGGGTGACCTTTGAGATATGAAAGGTGGGTGTGGCCCTGGTTACAGACTTGTTGGTGTGAGATGCTGCAAAACTACTGTGCTGTATTTAAAACACTGATGTTACTCTTGAAGATTTTACTCATTAGAAAATGGATATTTAAAGAACTCGGGTAAAGAAATGAAAAATCTGTGTTTTAATTGTTGGAAATGCCTGGACAGTGTAATAAGAATGCCTTAATCTTCAGTTTCCTAGCAGGATTTGGAACCAGCTTGTGGTTGGTTTCAGCAGTGAAATACAGATCTCACAAAACTACTTTTAAACTTAATCGTGAAACCATTATAATGTTTGATCTCTGACACATTATCTTAATTTTTGTTATTTTGCTGTATTTTTCTGGCAGCTTTTATGTTTCTGCTGAGTTGTAGGCAGTCAGTGACTTACTGCCGCTCTCGGACCTCATTGTAACAGAGTGTACAGTTCTCACCAAGGATGTCGGGCTCTGGGCTCCAGAGGAGTCGCACAATGCGTGGGCAGGTTTGCCCATTACTGTTGATGTGTTTCCATAAACTAGCTTTTATGATTACAAGTCCAAGGACAGTTACATGTAATGAAATGCCATAAAAGCGAAAATAGCTGACTGTAGCTTTTTTTCTTTCAGAACTTAAACGAATATGTTGAAGCATTAATTGCCTTGAAACAAAAAATTATTAATACAGAGTAAGTATATCTGCGTGTTGGAAGACCTCTGCCAGCCTCTCCAGCTGGCTGAAGTGGGTGGTGGTTTGGAATCCACAGTGGGCCCAATGGTGCTGGCTAGGGTAGAAACCCTGAGCCCTTTGCTTTAGTGGCTCACAGGCCTTTGTTGTAAAATTATATTTGCCAAATTGGATTTTAAAAGCTGTTTTCTTTCCAAAACTGTCCTGTGTGTCTGGTTCAAAATTCCTCACCATTTCATGCCACATTATTTTAATATCCCTTGATAGTCTCATGTTTTAGATCAAAAGCTCCTGTGTAGTGCGTTAAGGAGTCAAGGTTATGTCAGCAAGCATGCTTTTGTTTCTGGGGATCAAAGGGGAGAGGCCAGCTAGAGTGATTGAGCCATCCCTCTTTGTGGTGTGCTTGCCCAGTGACATGGGGGCCTAACTGCTCTTTTCTCTTTTTGCAGTAACCTGCTGACAGAATATCAGAAGAAATGCGATGATATCCTTTACTTGCTTCCCCTTTGGATGTTGCCACTGACTTACGTGTAATAACTCCAAAAGATAGGAGGGCCCCTCGTAACAGTTACCTTTTAAAAGGCAGTGTCTGCTGGCTTAATGGGAGCCCATCTTACAAACACAGCCAACAGCAGGACTTCAGTGTGGTAGCAGTGGGTGTGTAGTGGGGATCCTAGACTGAGGCAGCCTAGCAGACTCTCTGGTTCTTTAGCTTGCTCTGGTTTTCTTAGGGTCCTTGGCTGTTTAATGAGTGGATGCTCCTCTTGTGTATGGGTGTGACATCCGGTTCGTTGATGTTGTTATAGCTACAGGAATGCTTGTTGATTGGTGTCTCTAACTGAGAATGCTAATATGGCTAGGAAATGGACCTTGTTCTTATTAATGTGTATATCTACAAATTATATAAGTAATGCACTGTCATGTTTGTAATACAGTCCTCAGCCTAGAATCTCCATGTTGGCTAAGCAAGGGTAGGTATCTTCAAGAAAAAGCTGGTTTTGCCATATCTTTTTGTAACAGCTGCCTTGGTTTAAATCTCTCTCAAAAGAACATAGTAACATTTCTTCCCAGAAAATCAACATGTAGGGAGAGATTGGGCTCTTTTCAGTGCTGGGGCCGATGTTGCTCTTGCAGAGGTCTACGATCCCTGCAGTACTGTGAAGGCACTTAGAGCAGTGGTCCCCACAGCACTTTCAGAGAAATGTCATAAACTTCTTGGTGATTACATTTGTAATTTCATGGTAGAGTAAGTGGTCTAATTTTCTAAAATTTCTCTATCAAAATTTAAATAAAAATAAACAATTGATTCCTTCTTAAAAATGTATTAGTGCTGCGTCCCTGTGTGGGCTTGTGCACATGACGCATGGCTCATGCAGTCAGCCAGGGCATCAGAGCCTCAGGATCTCCAGTTACAGGTGGCTTTGAGCACCTCATAGGTACGGGGATCTGAACTCTGCTTATTCTTAACCACTGGGCCGAATTGCCAACCCCACCCAGTACAGGGCCTTTAAATAGATAAAGCCTGCAGTTGTTGTTTGAGATACAGAGGTTTGTTTTGTGATGGGATATTTGGCGTCAGCGACAGAAACTAATTTTAAAACCACTTTGGCATTAGCCCCAAGTATATTTTTTACAGCTCAGAAGTAAAGCTCTCCTGCCTCTAGGCGCCAGTGTCCAAGGCTTAATGTAGCTTGACCGCTTGCCCTACCTCTTCTGAAGAACCTGAGCGCATCTCTGTGGCCACAGTGGAGTGAGGAGAATGAATGAATGAATGAATGAATGAATGTGCACTTCTTGACCTTGAGAAGTAGTGTAGTCCCACTGCTTTGTGAGTGCCTCACTTTTGTCTGCAAGACTGTTCTCGAAGATTCTGATGTATACAGAAATAAAAGTATTTTCCATCAGCTATATTAGTCTTAGTTCTTGTCATTCTAGTCATTTATTTAAGGCTTTAGTACAGAAATAGATGTTTTGGCTTGTGCTCTATCTTAGTCACTGTTCTATTGCTGTGAAGAGATACCATGACCAAGGCAACTCTTATCAAGAAAGCATTTAATTAGAGGCTTGCTTTCACTGTCAGAGGGTCAGGGGCCAATCTGTTATCATTATGGTGGGAAGCATGGTGGCATAAAGGAGTAGTAGCTGAAAGCTACATTCTGATCTGTAGGCCGATAGATAGATAGATAGATAGATAGATAGATAGATAGCCTAGTGTGAGCTTTTTGAAACCTCCAAGCCTATCCCAGTAAAATACTTTCTCCACAAAGCCACGCCTGTTGCAGCGGGCCACACCTCCTAATCCTCTAATAGCAAAACTCTCTGGTGACTAAGCATTCAAATATATGAGCCTGTGGGGGCCATTATTATTCACACCACCATAGGTTCATACATGGGTCCATGTGGTAAATGCAGACTCACCACTGTCAGAGGCAGATTTGCGTACTGTGTGGCGTCAATGCTCTAGCCTAGGTGTACATGATTACCGAAAGGCAGATGTATCTCCCAACAGATGTCAGAAGAGAAAGTTCTGAGTTTTCTTTAACAAGTTTTACAGCTGCAGTTTGCAAGAAGGTGAGCTGCCTGGTGTTTGTCGCTGTGCTAACAGCTGTGAACCCCTGGGTGGAGGTAGCTGTAGCAAGCCAGAGGCCTGTCTTGGATGAAACTGCTCTGGGTGCTCCTTCCAAGCAGAGTGCATTGTCAGAGATAGTTATGGCATAGGTTTCAAACTGCATCCCTGTGGTTTGCTTCAGTAACTGTTGCATTGGCCACTGTGTGAGCTGAAGCTGAAGTTCTCCTGTTAGTTTTGCCTACACAATCACACTGTTGAATGCCATGTATCTTGTGTTGTTTATACCAAAATAAAACCACTAAAATTGTAGTGATGTTTTATGCTCTGACTACAGTGACCACGTGGAAGCTAACATGGGGTTATAAGTCGGATTGTAAGACGCTGTACCACTTAATTGGGACAAATGGGGAGAAGATGAAGATTCTCAGTGCGAGATGTTTGGCACAGTGTCCTCAGACAGCCCCTCCCATGCATGTGTGTTGGACTAGTATCTGATGTTGCTTTTTGATACAGTTTCATTAAAAAGATATACCTAAAAGACAAGAAGTAGTCTGCTCTTCAGTGTGAGCAAGAACACTTTTAAAGTTAGTGTTTATTAACACAAGTTAATAAACGAGTTGATTCTGCTCCGTGATGCCAACACTTTGTCCATTTTCAGAGAGAACAGCACACTACATCACCAGGTAGAGCAGATGCTCCAGAAGATCTCCCCTCTGCAGAAGTGTCAAGAGGAACTGGGATCCTTGAAAGCTGAGCTGGAGGAGAAAAAGGTGTGCGAGCCTCTTTCCTGTGGAGGGTCGTTGTCAGCCGTTAGGATCGGCTGTGCAGTCACGGATGGAGCGTTTGCATGTTGGCAAAGGGTCTCCACTCCGAGCATCCTGCTCCGGCTGATGTATGGCTTCAAAGTGATTCATGGGACTCCTCCCAAGTGTTGAGAGGGTTAGGTATAAATTGTCGTGGCTTTTATGATCTTTAAGTAACCCTCTCTTTTTAAACCTAATTTTTTTTTTTTTTTACTTAAGTGTGAAATAACATATAGACATTCAGAATTAGTGTTAGGAGAATCATTGTGTGGCAGTGTGTGGGCAAATGGATTTCATTAGCTGTGCTGGTCTAGCCTCAGCTCAGTACTCAGGGCCTCTGCTCTAGTAGAGTTCAGATGTCCTTGAGGATCTCCTGGATCTTGAGCCAGTTCATTTGAAGGTCTTGACAGCTTGGTTCAGTGTTTTGGGAACTATGCACAATCCCTATGGTTTCTCAGGGTCCTGAGGTCCACAGAGAGCAGCATTCATTCACAAGGTCGTACAGGTGAGTGTCTGGTCCTTTATCTGCAGGAGACGGTACTTTGAATAGGAAGCTGGCACTTTGACCTCTCACAGACTCTGTTCTTCAGAGCCAGGCCCTGAAGCAGTCAGCTCCAAATGCTCTGAGTGCTTTCCTGTGTGGTGCTAGTGTTTTCTACAGGGGTCCCTCACTGTGCCCTTGGAGCTTGTGTGTAGGAAGATCTATAGTCTGGTGGGGTGGTCTGAGGGGAGGCAGGGTATCCATGGTTAGCCTACCCTGTGTCCTTGATGGCTCTTTTCCCGGAAGATTGCTGCTGTGTGTCACTCACCCTCACGTTGTGGTTTTAGCAGTGAAGTGCGGTTGTACTCCATGAAGTTCAATCAGTGTTCCTTTTTCTCTTCCCGCTTAATTGCAGTGAAAGTTAAGCAGCCAATCACAGTGTTCAGTCTTACATACTCTTGGGTATGTAATATCTGCTGTACGTCCTCAAGGATGACTGAACCTTGGAGACCCTCCTAGTCATTCAGTGACCATGACTTGCAGGAATAACCCAGCCTGTCAAATCCTTCTGAAAAGGGCTTGATAAAGCTCGTCTCTCAGAGCTCTTAAGTCAGAGAAATGCTAAGTACAGACCACATGGACATCGTGTCTTCCCAGTCCATAGGGTCATCATGGCAGACGACTCAATATTTATGTATTTTTCATTAATATTGATTACGTTAATATTGATAAACCTGCTTTCCATTTCCTGACAATGCTAATGTACTAATATCAGCCTCGAGTCTGTTACTGTAGCTGCTGAGGTGAACATATTAGCTGTTTGGTATTAGCAGTGGTGTGGGTGGGAATTGAGTAGCTTTTGCTCTGCCATGCTGTCCCTGTTGATTAGGAACCTAGCCTACTCATGGAGGTGCTGAGTGAGTCCTGGGCCTTGCTGACAGTTCTGGCTGTGTACTCAGTATTGTAATACAAGGAATTTAGCTCATAGTGAAACAGATGAGGACCATGGCCGATGACTGCTTGGAGTGATCTTTCTCTGTCCTATTTTCCTTGTCAGAGTTCTCTGAAACTGTATCAGAACACTCACCAGGAATATGCTCGTGTGAAAGAAGAGTGCTTGAGAACTGACGCCCAGTAAGTGGCTTTCCTAGAGAAGCTGTAAATAATGGTGCCTTCTTTCCCTTCCCTTCCCTCCCCTCCGCTCCCCTCACACAGTTTCAGAGAACTCTGACAAGGA